ATTTCTGAGTCTCTGATATTTCGTCCTCCTCGCGCCCACTCCCTCTCAACATCGACTCTTGTACTTGTCCCGCAGAGCAATTGCGACGAGGGCCCCGCAAGGAGGCACTATTCGGACGAATCGTTCGAAGTCCTCCTCCTTCTTCTCATTATCCTCCTTCCTGCGTGTTCCTGTGAGGATGGAGTGGAGGATGAACAGCAGCAGGACCAGGGAGTAGAGGCAGGAGGGGGAGCAGCTGAGCAGGAGGATCAACCAGAGGAACAGGGGGAGAACAGTTCGGAGGCGGCGGATGAGGAAGGGGGAGGAGGAGGTGGAGGCGGATCAGGCGGAGGAGGAGCATGAGGAGGAGAAGTAGGATGATGATGGGGCGGAGACATCTGCGGGAGCAGGAGCACGAGGAGGCGGAGGGATGATGAGGAGAACGAGCCTCTTGTCCGACACTACCCCTTGAGGGGGGCCAATGGGTCTATCGCCGTCTGCCGCTCGCCAGTGCCATGTGTGTGGGTGTGGCGCCCCGTGTCTCCCGCCAACGCTGCGACCCTTGTCCTCCCTCCGTCCCACCGTCCTCCCTCCCTATCTCGCCCTCCCCCCCTCTCCTCCATCTGCTTATCCCTTTCTTTTCCCCCACCCTCCTTCTCCTCACCTCTTTCTCCCCCCAACTCCTCCTCCCCCCTCCCCCTCCCTCCCCTCCCTCCCTCTCTTTCCCCTCCTCGTTTTCTCCCTCCCCCATCGTCATCGTTTTCCTCATCAGTTTCCTCCGTCCGTCCTCCCTCCGACCCTACCCCCCTCCCTCCGTCCGTCCTCCCCCCGCCCTGCTGTGACATACTACTCATTGCGGTGCTCTTCTGCGCCATGCCATGCCGTGTTCTACAATGCATCGCGTACCCTTTCGGGATCATTGCCCTGCTCGACATCCGACTGTGCGAGTAGAGAGGGGATCTACGCCATGGTAAGGGATGGGAGGGAGGGGTCGGATGTCAGATATGACGCGAGCGCACCCAACTTGCCCCTCCCCCTCCCTCCTCCCCTTCCCCTCGATGCGAGCAGCCACTTCTTGGAACATGGGCCGCCCGCGGCCCCTCGCGTTTTTTTTTGCTCCTCCGCCGCTCTCTGCAGCGTGGCCGCCCGCGGCGGCGATCGATTGGCCACTGCTCTTCTGCATCGGAGGCCACGGCCTCCACGCCATGCCCTGAGGCACGCGTGGGCTTCCAAACCCCGCAACTCTAGTCCTCCTCCTCCTCCTCCTCCTCCTCCTCCTCCTCCTCCTCCTCCTCCCCCTCCTCCCCCTCCTCCTCCCCCTCTTCCTCCTCCTCCTCCTGCCTGCCTGCCTGCCTGCCTGCCTGCCTGCCTGCCTGCCTGCCTGCCTGCCTGCCCCCCTGCCCCCCAGGTTCTCGACGAGGCCTGCAGGCGGGGCTCTCCGGTCGAGGCGCGGCGGCGCCGAGAGCGATGGCGGCGGGGGCCGCATCGGGCTCGATTCGATGGTCCTTCGGTCGGGCTCGGCAGCGCCCTCGTCGTTCTCACCAAAGCCTGCCAGGAGCCGCCTCCGGCCCAGGTGCGCAGATGCAGCGCAGGGGGTTCGTGAAAGGGGGGCTCCTCCTCCTCCTCCTCCTCCTCCTCCTCCTCCTCCTCCTCCTCCTCCTCCTCCTCCTCCTCCTCCTCCTCCTCCTCCTCCTCGGGGGAGGTTACTCTGCCGAGGTGGAGGTGGGGAGGCGAGCCCACCTGGAGGCCTGCAGTTCCCCCCTCCGGCGCTGTTCCGAGCGGCTCTCACGTGGCCCCTGACCTCTGCCCCCACCCCGCCCCCGCGCCCCCACGCAGTGGGTGCCTCGATTCTTCAAGATGCGGGCCCCCGACCTGTCGACGAAATTCGCGGGGACCGCCTTTTCCTCCCGAGTCTTCTTGTCGACGGCCCCAAGGCCAGGTCAGGGCCCCGCATGGCCAGGAACTCATGAGCAACTCCGTCTGGACGTTTCGAGATGCCCAGTGTCTGGGCCCCCCCCCCGACGCCTCCTCTTCCCGGCCAGCCCCGATTTGGGAGTCCGCCCCGGTCCGCCCCGGGCCGCCCCGGGCCGCCGGCGCGATGGTGGCATCCTTCGGCCTCCGGCGGGGCTCGGCCCGAGCGCGGCGATGCGCGGCCTCGGCCGTCGCCGCGGCGTGCCGCTCGGCATCCGCCGGGGAGCGGGGCAGTCGGGCGACGCTGTAACAAAAAGAGCGCTGAGCCAGGAGCGCAACCCCTTCTTTCGCAGGCCTGGAGGTTGACACCAACACCAACGTCGGCGGTGTGCCTCCACCGAGGGAAGAAGATCCCGATCTCGGTAATGGTGGTAATATTCTTGCTCCCAAGGTGGCCGACATATTACCACCAACACCGAAATCTGGGACCACCTTCCCCCTGTGGAGGCAGTCCCCTGTCTTGGTGTTGGTGCCCATTTCCAGGCCTCCAGTTCTTGCCACCAGGAGAGCCCGTGTGCACGAGGCCGGCTAGAGCCATCGAACGACCTATAAGGCACGGCGAGCCCCGTGCAAACCCCCAAAGCGGTCCTTGTCTCAGCGTCTCGACCATAGGGCAACGGGATCTATGTATACCCACTGCCCCGGGTCTGGCCCGTGCTGGGCCCAGGAACGGTGGGGCGATGCGTATTTGATTCGATTCCGTTGCCCTAGGAGGGGTAGCATACGAGGCATGAGGGGCATGTCCTGAGTCAGGAGGGGAAAAAACACACACACAGACACAATGAGTCGTCGATCCCCCAGAAAGTATGGAAAAATATGGGAAGTGGGGGGGGAAGACAGAAACCCAGAAAATATGGGAACATATGTGGAGTCCTTATGTCTGTGTGTATTTCTTTGTGTGTCCCAGGGCCCCTTCACTGAGGACCTGGCGCTGCCCCCTCTGTGAGCCGGGGCTGCCGTCGCCAGGCCTCGGGCCTTGGGGGCCCTTGCAGATCGAGCCGCCCCGAAGATGCGGCGCAGAGCAGTGGGGCCCAGGACCCCTGTCGTGATTTTTCGCGGTGCTGTATTCTTTTTCGCTGCGTCGAGGCTCCTCTGTCGGGGGTGGACAGGCCTCCTACCCCGACACGTCGATCGAGGAATTGTCCGCTTTCGGTTTGCGAGAGGGCGTCGGGGCCGTCATTTTTGCGGGTCCAGGTCCGTCGGTTTCGGCCCCAGGCCGTTTTCACCAAGGGGAGGTTTACCAAAGGGAGGTTTGTCCACCGCCGACTCTGGGACCTCAGGGGAGGAGGAAAAGGTGCCGATGCCGCTCACACTGCCTCGCCGCCACGGCCGGATGCGTCTCGCAGTCCTGGTCGGGATGCTGCCCCCGTGGGGGCTCTGGGGAGTCGTGCAGGTCGGTGCGAAGCGCCGTGTTCCCCGCAAAAGGGCGACGGAGGGGGCACCTCCGGCGAGGAGGCGCACGATGCGAGAGGGAAAGAGCGTGTCGTTGACACGCCGCCGTAGGCTGCCCGTCAGCGTGTCACTCAGTCTCTCGGGGGTGGACAGAACCCCCAACAGTGACACGTCGATTAGTGAATTGTCCGTTTTCGGTTCTCGAGAGGGCGCCGTGGCTGTTATTTTCCAGGCTTGCGCCCGCCAGGTTTGGGCCTCGGGTCGTTTTCACTAAACCACGTTTTACTAAAGGGGGTCTGTCCATCCCCGAGTCTCGGGCAGTGGCGAAGCGTCCTGGCTCGCCTATGGCCCTACCGGACAATGTTCTACGAGCCTTTTTGCGGTTTCCACGGGATTTTCTCAGAACATTTCTGGCGGAGCCGGTCTTGTTTTCTCACATCGGGTTTACGTTCTAAAAACATTGTTTTTGTTGTTCGAGCATTTTTAGGTTCTGAGAACATTTCGTGGTAGGACTGTAGGAATGCCGGGACGGTCGGTCCTTGCTCAACAGTCGGGCTTGTTCCAAGCTGTTCCAAGGACTGTATCTCTTCAACTGCAAAGCGCCGATGGGCTCCTCATGCTCGAGAGCCTACCTCGAAGACTGTCCCCCTGTACTCTTCGCGGTGGCGGTCGCGTACGTGGTTTCATGGTCATGCTTCTGCCGCCGACCCTCCCTGAAAGGAGGTCCACGGTGCCTCCCCGAGCGCGCTGCATCGAGCGGGCAACGGCCAAGCAGGGGGGCCACGACGCCAGCAAGACCCCCCGCTTGTGGCTCTTCGCGATGGCGGTGGTGGTGCCGCCTGTGGCTCGTCCCACCCTAGAGGACAACTGTGTTGGGTGTTAGCTTTGGGGGGCCTCCCAGGGGTTCTTCGCCGCCACGGCACCGCGAGCTGTGTGGTGCCATCTATGCGTTGCAAGTGTCGTGGTGCACGATGTACGCTGCGAGGTAGTTGGTGGAAGCTAGCGAATGTAACACATGTCGTGCAACCTGTGTGCGGGGTGGGGCGGGGGGGGGGGGAAATAGGGGCGACCCAGAGTGTGTGGTGCAGCATGTGATGCGTAGCCAAGGGCTCCCATGAGGGCGCGAAGTTATTCGCGCTTCGCGCTTCGCGGTCCTCGTTCCTTCTCCCCCTCCTCCTCGTCCTCCTTTTCTCCCTTTGGGGGGGCGGCGCGAGGGCGCGAAGTTATTCGCGCTTCGCGCTTCGCGGAGCGCGAAGCGCGAAGTTGGGAGCCCTAGGTAGCATTCGGTGCATGCTTGCGAGTGCCGGCATGCGAGTCCCCCCCCGAGAGAGAGAAGCCGCGCACGGCCCCGGAGAGAGCACCCGCCGCCGCGCACGAGCCGCGGCAGCGCCGACCCCGAGCTCCACGGCGCGGAGGAGGAGGAGGAGGAGGAGGAGGAGGAGGAGGAGGAGGAGGAGGAGGAGGAGGAGGAGGAGGAGGAGGAGGAGGAGGAGGAGGAGGAGGAGGAGGAGGGTAGGAGGAGGAGGAGGAGGAGGAGGAGGAGGAGGAGGAGGAGGAGGAGGAGGAGGAGGAGGAGGAGGAGGAGGAGGAGGAAGACGCGCAACCTCCGATTGCCACGCGTGCCGTTGCGGTCTGTGTATGCGCGCCCCGAAACGCGCATGCCGGCGCGCGAGTGCGGGCACGAGGCGGGCACGGGCGGGCGCCAGGCGGAGGCACCGGCCGGCCCCGGGACGGCCCCGAGAGGCCCCGAAGACGCCCGAGATTAAAACGACGCGAAGATCGGGACAAAATCGGATCGGGATCACTCGAAATCTCTGAGAATCGGCGGGTTTGGAGGATGTATTGGGCGCCGCGGCCGCTCCAGAGCGTTCCGGAACGCTCTGAGAGCGCTCCGGAACGCTCTGAGAGCGCTCCGGAACGCTCTGGAGCGAGTTATCCCGATCCTAGCCCTGTTTTAAAGATGCCCTGAAGACGGCCGACGAGGACCCCAACACGCTCCAGGACGGCTTCAAGAGGCTCCCCAGGAGGGCCCTGGGAGGCGAGATTCATGCATCTTCCGATGGTTTTTGGGAGATTTTGGCGTTCTCGTTTGTCCCGCTTCCCAACGCCACCTCACGGCCTCTGAGGCCTTTGAGATCGCTCCAAGACGGCCCACGAGGGCCCGAAGAGGGCCCCAAGACGGCCCAGAAGGGCTTCCCAGACAACCCAAGTGTGCCCCAAGAGTGCCCCAAGAGGAGGGACCACGAACCGATATTTCGAGGTCTCTGGCCCGAGAGGCCCCCAGTAGGCCCCCGGAGGCCACCAAGAGGCTCCCAAGAAGCCCCGTGAGGCCCCCAGAGGCCCCCAGAGGCCCCCAGGAAGCCCAGGAGGCCCCCAAGGGGCTTCAGGGAACTCCCAAGAGGCCCCCCAACACACCCCAACAAATCATGTTCCCAGAAAGCCTTCCAGGGAAATAGTTCATCATGGGCCCGAGAGTCTCCGGAGGCTCCGAAGTGCCATCACGTTACCGGAGAGCTGTCTGGGATGTTGACTGGGAACATTTCTGATCGCCTTCTCTGTCACGCTTGGCCACCCTGCAGTTACGATCCCCGGCGTTGTTTGTTCTGTTTCGTCGTTCCCCCGAAAAACGCAAAGGGAACAAGAAAATTGTTTATTCGCTGGGGCGCCAAGGGCTTCAATGTTGCACGGATGCAGTGAAAACAGTGAGTTTCCATCCCGTCTGGGCGGTCATCGTGAATACAATGCTAAGTGTGCGTTGCCGCGTATCCACCCCGCTCCGTTTATATTTAGAATATCAACCCCCAAACGGGGTGTCGTGCCTGCGCCCATTATTTGCAGCACTTGGCGATGCCTGCGCCAGTCCAGTTCGTTGGCATCCATGCCTACGCCCATTACTTACAGCACTTGGGGCTCTCCTGGGCTGTCTTGGGGCAATCTTGGGGGCCTCTTGGGCCATTTGGAGGCGTCTTGGGCCGTCTTGGGGCCCGCTTCGGCCGTTAGGGGACCCTCTTGGGGAATATCCTGTATGTTTACGTATCACACGGCCTCCCAGCAATTCAGAGCACGCGGTTCGGGGACGCTAACCAGGGTGGTTTCTGGCTCCCCCCTCTCGCGCGGACAGTAGCAATTGACAGTGAGAAGCAGAGATCAGCATTGTGTATCATTGAAACCTGGAAACTGGAACTGGCGCAGGGAGCAGCGAGCTCAGTCCTCGCAGCCTGATGGCCCCGCGAGGGGGGCCGGCGGCTACAGCTTCCTCGTCTACTGCACGCGTGGCACAGTCAACCCGCGGGCAACCTTCCCAAGGGTACCCTTGCATCCTTGCCTCCTCGGTCCATTCTTCGCCGCTTTCGCTGGCCGCGCCCCGGTCGAAAAGCTTCGAAATGGGCGTCCGAGGCCCTTGCATCCTTGTCGCTTCGGATGCAACTCCTGGGAGGTCAAGTTCTGACTTCCCCCTGGTCCAGAGTCTGGCTCAATCTGGCCTGATCCCGCTTCATCCAGCTTGATCCTGCTTCATCCGGCGCAGCCCCGGTTAACCCACGGCCTAATCCTGCGCAGTAGCCCCCCAGTGGGGCCCAGTTCTCCTTCATCTTTCCGACGAGGACCTCCCAGCAGTTGCGTCCTAAGATCGATCGTCCCTGCTGTACCGGTTGCCTGCACCGCCTGCGGGCGCGGCCGCAGCCCGTCGCGTGCAGCGCACGCTCGCGCTCGCCGTGCGGGCCGCCGCGCGCAGTCTGCCCGCGCAGGCTGCCCGCGCAGGCTGCGCCCCATCGCCTCTCCCCAGATAGAGGGAAAAGAACTATGCACATGCACCGATTCTGGCCAGGCCCATCCTGAGCCCAGGATCGGTGCATACGCCCTCCTACCTTGGCCAGGAAGGCATACGCACCGATCCTGGGTCAAAAATGGGCCTTGCCAGGATCGGTGCATGTGCATAGTTCTCTTCGCCCGACCAGAGGCGTGCTGCTGCACAGGCGGCCCTTGCGCGAGCCATCGCGTGGGGTCGCCCCGGCCACGGCGCTTTGTTGGCGATCTCGTGGGCCGCTTTCGCTCCGGCTGCGTTGCCTGCGCTCGGGGCGGAAATTTTTGGAGACGGGGCGAGGGGAGAGCGGAGACAAAGCGGGAGCGGAACAAGCACCGTTGAGGTTCAGCCCTGTCGTGCGCGAGTCGAGGACCAGAAAACAACAGTACGCGCAGGATTGTTCGGAGCTCCGCGCGCCAGGGAGGGGTGTCCAGCGCCGAGCCTCCAAGTCCGCGTGGAGCTCCGAACGTTGATGGCCATGCAGTGTGCTGCTCTTTCTCTTCGTTGCCCCCGTGCCTCCCATGCTCTCACACCTGCACGCGCCAGGCGAACGGCGCACACCGCAGCGGTTGCACCGCTCACTAGCCCGAGGACATACTCCACGCGGTTACGTCCCTCGTGCGCCTTCGGACAGATTTGATACGTTACCAGGGCGTTGGGCCCTTCAGGCTGTTCTGTTTCAATGGTTGTCGATTGCTTCGTGAATCCTGGTCGTTGACGTCCTTGCCGCCAGTTGCCTTAGCATCGAAACTCGTCGAACTCAACCTGTATTTGGTTCCGTTACCGTGTTTGTATGTGTCGTCGGCAGTTCTGTCGTGGTGGTTCTTCTGGTTGAGATATTCTGCAGGGAAGCTACGACACTAGATAGATCTGGTATTTTCCTGCGTGCCGCCGAGATCTAAATGGCAAAGCCCGTATTTCCTTCAGCCCAGGCGTTGCGACGAGATGGGCCACAGCTCAGAGCCAACAATCCGCGCGGACCAGCTTTCCTTACGTGTCTTATTCTTCTCTTTGCGTTCCCTTCGGATGCTTTGATTGCCGCGCACGCGTGCCGAGGTCTGCCTCGTGCGCTCGCTGCTTGCGCACCCACGTCGGCTTCAGGTCTTCATGCCGCCTCCGAGGCCCCCCCGCACCGGCGCCTGCGGCGGCTTTCTTGTGTTCCATCTCGGCCTGGAAGAGGAGGGTAAGGAGGAGGGTAAGGAGGAGGGTAAGGAGGAGGAGGAGGAGGAAGAGGAGGCGGAGAATGACGACGACGACGACGACGACGATCGGAGGCTGGGCTAGTCGACACAGCGACACCCCTCCCTGGCGTTTTCTGCTACCCGTTTTAGGCCTCCTGGAAGTTTCTCGTCACGAAGGCTGGACCCGCTTCGAAACACAGGGCAGGATGGACCCAGGGAGGGGTCGGACGGTCTGGGACCGATTCTGCGCGGATAAGGGTTTGGCGGGAGAGCCGCCCTTCTAACTTCTCCCAGTCTGCGTTTCATCGGCCATTGTTTCCCCCTCGTGGTTTCTCATCCATCTCACCCACCGCTGACGTGTGCAGTACCATTCTATGCCGACGCGAGGAATATGATTGTCTTCCTGAGAATCGAAGCCACAGTCCGCTCATTCCGAACTTATTATGCACACGTGGATAGCGAGGAATACGAGGAGGAGGATGACGAGGTGGACGGACAGGCTGAGGTGGAGAAGGATTCCAGCGAAGAAGAATGAACCTGATGGACATTGGTTCGTTGCTTTGCCCAGGACTGCTTTTCCTCCCGAGTTCTTCTGGGGGCTCTCAGGTCCCAAGATGTGGAATTCTAACTTAGGTGCCTTTTCCCCCAGGATCCTGTTTGAATGTTGCATGTTGAAAGGAGGAGCCTTGGACATGCGATTGCATGTTTTACTTCCGTCCCTCTCCATGTACACCTTCTCCGTAGCGCCAGCACGTCTATTCCGAACTTGGGCAGCTCGGCCTGCGTGGACACGCTCCCAGACCCGTGCGAAGGCCGCCAGGATCATCACGAGCTCGCCGCAGTGGTATGGCACGAATTGTTTAGCACCATCTTCACGCTTCCTGCAGGGCCGGCGGCAGGGCGAAGGCCGGCTACACGCAAGAGTGACCTCACGCGGGGGTGGCCGCTGGTACGCGGCGCTCGTGGGTCGCGCGGGGGGGGCACTCGCCGCGCACCCGAATGCCATTCTCGCCTAGGGTCACTCTTGTCAGGGTTCAACTCCTGGGAGTTCCAATTCAGAATCGGCGCTGGTATATCCGTGGTAGAAGCCCGGCATGTTCCCGTTGAGTTCCGTCTCATCCATTGCAGTCCATCTTGATCCAGCTTCATCTTGGGCTAAGTCCAGACTAGTTTGGCTGAGTGGCCCGTTGGTCGAGTTTCTTAGCCTTAGTCGTTCTTGCGAAGACCTCCAGGACTATGCCGCTACTGAGCCGCTGGTGTTGGGCAACGTACGCCCCAGCTACCACTTTGACGGCTGGCAGCGACATGCAGTTGCCAGCACAAGCTTCGCCGCTTCCTTCAGTGCAAGAATCGCGCCTTGTCTTGACTGCTCTGGCCCCTGCTGCAAGCCAGGACCCAGTTGAGCGCGAGGAAGAAGACCTTGCGCCCAGCCAAGAGAGGACGCAGCGCGAGAGCTGGCCACACGCGAGAGGTGCCCCCTTGCGGGCGTGGCCGCTGGTGCGCGGCTTTCGGGGGCGTGGGGGGCGTGCACTCGCCACGCGCCAGAGGGCCGAGGGACAGAGAGGTGCCGCTGCCGCCACTCCCCGGACCCCTCCCGCTCCGACCAGAACATCGAGGGCACTTCAGCCGTGGCGACGAGAGCTCTCCAGGACGAGTACAGCGGCATCGGTACTCGAGATTTCGTAATAAAAGGGAGGGGGTCTGGACCCTCCAAGACAGACCATTTCAGACCTCCCCCGTGGGAGAACCCTCCAAAACATCGTCCCCAGACCCCCCAGGCCCTCCAAGACAGCCTGGAAGAGACCCCCCCCGAAATGAGACCCCCCTCCCTTTACTACGAGATCTGGAGTACCCTGCCCTCCTCTTGGCTGCCTGCGGCCGCCCTCGGCGCTCCGCGGGGGGAGGAGGCCGAGAGCAGGAGCCCCCCCCCGCGCCGCAGGCTCGCCGCTGGCCCCGTGGGCGCCGTCCCGCGGCGGCTGCTGCCGCCGGCCGGGGCACAGCACGTGCAGCTCGCGGCGCCGCGCCGCCCCGGCCGCGGCGTCGTCTTCTCGAGCATTGGCGAAGCTCGGGGGCGGAAAAGAGGGGGGTGATGACTAGGGGGGGGTGGATATCATGGCGGGGGCCATGATATTTCCCCAGATTTCATGGCGCCTCTTCTTGTTTCATTACGTCCCTGGCCCCCCCGCTGGGCCGCGCACATGCCGCCGGTCATGATTTGCACCCCCCCCCTCTTGGACACCCCCCTCTTTGCCGCTCCCGAGAAGCGTCCTGGCATACGAGTGGCCAGGAATCCCAGAGGGGGTCCAAGCGGCAGGGGTCGGGGGGTCGCGCCGCAGGGCCGATGCATCGGCGCTGCGGCTCGATGTGGAGGCCGATTTCCTGCACGCCGACGGCGCGGATGGTTCGCCGACAATGCCGATGCATCGCCGATGCATCGCCGATGCGGGGCGATCTTCCGACCCCATGTGCTCGGACCTCATCTTGGAGACCTCTATTATAGTATAAGCGCAACACAGAATGGTCTAAGAACTTCTATGTGGCTTTCACGAAATATTTACCTGACAGCGAAGACTTACAGGTTTCTAGTACGGTCAAAAGAGAGCATCATGACGCCCCAGGGGGGTCTGGGCGCGATCCGGGGGAGAACTCCATTCCCGGGCCACATTCTGAATGCCCTGAGCCAACTGTAGGCCACTTCGTGGTCTTCGAGATCCCAGAACTCCATTCCCGGGCCACATTTTAAATGCCCGGAGTTGTAGGCCACTTCGTGCTCTTCGAGTTCCCAGAACTCCATTCCCGGGCCACATTTTTGAATGCCCCGGAGCCAACTGTAGGCCACTTCGCTGAGGCTTGCTGAGGCTGAGGCAGGCTGAGGCTGAGGCTGAGGCAGGCTGAAGGCTGAGGCTGAGGCAGGCTGGCTGAGGCTGAGGCAGGCTGAGGCTGAGGCAGGCTGAGGCTGACGCCGAGGCTGAAGGCTGAGGCTGAGGGCTGAGGATGAGGCCGAGGCTGAAGGCAGACTGAGGCTGAGGCTCAGCAGGCTGAGGCTGAGGCTGAGGCTGAGGCAGGCTGAGGCTGAGGCTGAGGCAGGCTGAGGCTGAGGCTGAGGCTGAGGCTGAGGCTGCAGGCTGAGGCTGAGGCTGAGGCTGAGGCTGAGGCTGAGGCTGAGGCTGCAGGCTGAGGCTGAGGCTGAGGCTGAGGAGGCTGAGGCTGAGGCTGAAGGCTGGCTGCTGAGGCTGAGGCTGAGGCTGAGGCTGAGGCTGCAGGCTGAGGCTGAGGCTGAGGCAGGCTGATGCTGAGGCTGAGGCTGATGCTGAGGCTGAGGCTGAGCTGCTGAGGCAGGCTGAGGCAGGCTGAGGCTGAGCTGAGGGCCAGGCTGAGCTGAGGAGGCTGAAGGCTGGCTGAGGCTGCAGGCTAGGCTGAGGCTGAGACTCTGAGGCTGAAGCAGGCTGAGGCTGAGGCTGAGGCTGAGGCTGAGGCTGAGGCTGAGGCTGAAGGCAGGCTGAGGCTGAGGGCAGGCTGAGGCTGAGGCTGAGGCAGGCTGAGGCTGCAGGCTGAGGCTGAGGCAGGCTGAGGCTGAGGCAGGCTGAGGCTGAGCAGGCAGAGGCTGAGGCTGAGGCTGAGGCTGAGGCAGGCTGAGGCTGAGGCTGAGGCAGGCTGAGGCTGAGGCTGAGGCAGGCTGATGCTGAGGCAGGCTGAGGCTGAGGCTGAGGCTGAGGCTGAGGCAGGCTGAGGCTGAGGCAGGCTGAGGCTGAGGCCGAGGCTGAAGGCAGACTGAGGCTGAGGCTGAAGCAGGCTGAGGCTGAGGCTGAGGCAGGCTGAGGCTGAGGCTGAGGCAGGCTGATGCTGAGGCAGGCTGAGGCTGAGGCTGAGGCTGAGGCTGATGCAGGCTGAGGCTGAGGCAGGCAGGCTGAGGCCGAGGCGAAAGGCACTGAGGCTGAGGCTGCAGGCTGAGGCTGAGGCTGAGGCTGAGGCAGGCTGAGGCTGAGGCTGAGGCAGGCTGAGGCTGCAGGCTGAGGCTGAGGCAGGCTGAGGCTGAAGGAGGCTGAGGCCGAGGCTGAAGGCAGACTGATGTTGAGGCTGAAGCAGGCTGATGTTGAGGCTGAAGCAGGCTGAGGCTGAGGCAGGCTGAGGCTGAGGCTGAGGCAGGCTGAGGCTGAGGCAGGCTGAGGCTGAGGCTGTGACTGCGACTGCCGTTGCCACTGCGACTGCCATCGCGAATGCGACTACGACTGCGAGAACAGCAGAATTCCACAACAGGATTCTCATCTGAATCTTAAGGGGAATGCTTCCAGATATGCTCCTACACATCGCTGTTAGGTTGCTTTGCCGGGATAAGTTTAGCACATGTCTGGCCGAGGCAGCATTGGTCTAATACATAGGTTCAGTTTCAGAGCACTACTTTCGTTATTGGGGCAATCGTTTGCTCTGAGAAGATGTGGTAGACCTGTAGGGATGTCGGGACGGTTGGTCCCTACTGAATATTCGTCGCCGTTGTTTTCGCCGTCGCCGTTGTTTTCGCCGTCGCCGTTGTCGTCGGTCGTCGTTTTCGCCATCGCTGGCGTCGTCGGTCGTCGTGCAGATGAGGAAGACATTACTAGGAGGGCCAGTGGAGACGTTGGTACAGTCGGGGCGCTGAAGAAGGAACCCTTTTCGTTGCGGAGGGGCTCGGCGTTCCTTGATTGTTGTGCAATTTGCCTTAGGTTTCCCTAATGTTTTCCATGGGAAATCGAAATTAACTTTTTGGAGAAAGGGGAATCGTTCCCTACTTAGGGTTCCTTAGGTCAACGCCCCGAATGTAGTTGGCCTTCGGGGGGCCCTCATCGCCACAGCTTGACGCAGCTCGGACAGCTGGTCCGCTCGGCCCCCGGGAGGGCTCTGGGGACCGATGTTGCGATGCCGTTGTCTCAGCTCGCCCTGCTCCGAGATATCGATGCCGCTGCTCGCCCTGGAGGGTCCTCGTCACCACGGCTGGGTTCTCTCCTTGAAACCATCGCCAAGACGCACTCGACGAGAGGTCCGGGGAATGGCGGTATCGGTACCTATTGTTTGTTCCCCCATGACCAGCCTGGAACAGATCCCTATCCGTGTGATTGGCATCGCCTCGTCTCGATAGCGATCTTAGGGATTTCCTTAGTTTTTGATGGCGCACCCCCAAGATTGTCAGCGCCTTTGGGCTCGTCAGCCTCAGGGGTAGGGGTACGTTTGAGGCTGGTCGCCCCACGTCGGAGTCGTCGCCGTAGGCTCGGGGATCGGCCCAGAGGGGGGCGAAAGCTGGCGCTCGCCGCGAGGTGCGGCTCCGCCCTCCGCGCACAGCTTCTGCGGTCCGCGGCCGCCCCCCTTTGGCGTGCGCGGGCGCCGGAAAGCAGCAGCTTCATGCAGCCGGCTCGCCACTTGCACGCAGCGGGTTCGCCGATTCCCGCTCCGCCAGCCCCCCCGAGGGGGGGAGAAATCACACGGGCACAAGTAATCGTGGATTCCCCTGGAAAAAATGGGAAAGTATGGGAAGTGGGGGCGAAGACGAAAACCCAGAAAATATGGGAAAATGTGGGGAATCCTGGTGTTCGTCTCTATTCATTTGTGTGTCCCAGGGCCCCTTTCGTCCCCCCCGTCCACCTCGAGGGCAGGAGCACGATCGCGAGGCCGAGCTCGCAGCCGCCGCCGCGCACGGCTTGCATGTACATTCTTCGGAGCAGGCCCGCGAGCGAGACACGCTCAACATAATGGTCGCACAGTGCTTAGGGGCGAAGGCCCGTGCACGCATGTGCGGCTCCCGTGGGCGCAGCTCAAGCCAGCAAGCGTGGACCTCGCGCCTGCTGGTGTTGTTTGCCGCCGCCGCCGTCGTCGTCGTGGGTCGGGGGCCCCTCCGCCGGCATGCCCCCGCTGCGGCCGATGGGGTCGACTAGACGTAAGAGTGACCTTTCGCCGGAGTGTCCTTTGGTGCGGGCCCGGTGGGGCCCCCTGGTCGCCGAACGCGGTGCGACAGTGGCGCCTAGCGCGCCTGTGCTCGGTCCCCCCGCGGCCCCCCAAAAGCCGCGGAACAAAGGCCACTCTTACCCAGGGTCACTCCTGCGTGTAGCCGATGGGGGAGCTCCAGTTCCCGGCCCTTCGGGCGAGGCGACTGGGATCGGCTCTGCGGGCGCCTTGGGTGTGTGCCCAGGTCTGGGCCTCCGAAGGGTGCCGTTCCTGCGGGCCGCTAGGCTAGGGGGCCACATTCGAACCCTACCCCCTACCCCCCACGATTTCTGAGGGGGAGGGTGGGGTTCACTTCGCTCGGGAGCTCCCAGACGAAATGAACCCCACCCTCCCCCTCAGAAATCGTGGGGGGTAGGGGTAGGGTTCGCATGTTGCCCGCTATAGGCGGTGACAGGGTTGCCCGCGGCGAGAGGCTGGCCCCAGGGATGGCGTCGAGAGTTCCGGGGCCTGTGTCCGTCAACGGGCACCGTGTCTCGGCACGAGCGAACTAGGTACGGGAGGAACGCGTTACGACAACCGACACTAGCTCCTGCTGCTTCTGATCAGGACCCGCTGTCGGTGTCGCCGCGGACGTTCTGCCCGACAGCAGCCGCTGTTGATTTCGGGAACCGTTTGCTGTTGGGCATCGTACACACGTTTCGCATACCCATTCCGGGCGCGCCACATGTCGGATGTTCGCCCACGAAAGCAAGATTCGGCTTATATCTGTTCAGCACAGGGAGTAACAAGCCATCTGCGTCCTACGCCGAAGGAGCGGGTTCAATGGCTGGGCCTTGCGAGTTCTCAAGGCGGTGCTGTTGTGTCTTCTCCTAGGTGGTTTGGCTGGCTAGCCTGATGGTTGAATCGAGGCAAGCTGATCCAGCAGGTAACGATTCATCACATGAACCAGGAAGCAGAATAGTCAAGAATGATGGCTCTCCGCTCACCTCTCGCGTTGTTGACCAGAATCGGCATGTCTTTCTGTTGGGTTCCAGTCTGCCGAGGATTCGCCGAGGGTTGTTGGGTGGCCGTTTTAGCTCTTCAGCGCTGGCAGCGCTCCAGGCTCACTGTCCACACACAGAGCTCGTAGGTAGTTCTTGCCAGGCGGAGCATACACATTACACAAGAGCCATAGAGAACAGGCATCAGCAACCTGCAGAGAAGTCCATAATTACCCCCCCCCCCCTGGAAATTGCATCTCCTTGCAGCCAGTCTGAAGTGTTTGCTGCTCTCGCCTGGCGGGTTTGGTCGGGAAAACGTCTGACCAGCGTTCGCCAGATTTCGGGACTACCAACGCTTCTTCAGGGCCCATCCTGGAATTTGACGGTCCAGTTGTTGTGGCATGTCTGCAGCGGGGTCCGCGCAAACTGCTTCAGACTGGGTCTGGTCATTTGGCAGGCCATCCCGAGCCCCACGTTGGGTGTCGAGTAGTGGTGCTGCGATGCACGGGGGGGGGGGGAAGAAGGGTACACCTTTTTGTGCCCAACAGGGGCCCAAAAGCCGGCACGAAGGGTGCACCTTTCTCGCTCCCCCGCCGATCGCCTCCTCATTCGCTGACGCCCGACGCGAAGCCGAGTCTTCCGTCTCCCCGACGTGTGCGAGCACCTCGGCGCAGATCCTGCTTGCTGGTTCGCCCCTCCCTCTCCCTGCCCGGAGGGGGGGGCGGCCGCACCTCTGCTGGTGCCCCACGCGTGGAGTTCGCGGGGGGGGGGGGGGCGCGCGTGGCGCGCGCGAGCGCCCCGCTTGCCCTCCCTTCCCCGGGAGGCCGAGAAAGGGCAAACGGCCCACAGATGATGATGATGATGCTGATGATGATGCTGCTGATGATGATGATGATGATGATTGATGCTGCTGAAGCTGATGATGATGATGATGATGATGATGATGCTGATGATGATGATGATGATGATGATTATGATGATGATGCGATGGCTGATGCTGATGATGCTGATGCTGATGCTGATATGATAATGATGATGATGCGATGCTGATGCTGATGCTGATGCTGATGCTGATGATGATGATGATGATGATGATGATGATGCTGATGTGCTGATGCTGATGCTGATGCTGAGCTGGTGCTGCTTGCTGCTGATCTGATGCTGATGATGCTATGCTGATGCTGATGCTGATGCTGATACTGCTGATACTGATACTGGAATGCTGGATGCTGATGCTGATGCTGATGCTGATGATGCTGATAGCTGATGCTGATGCTGAGGGCTGATAGGCTGTGAGGATGAAGATAGGAGGAGGAGGAGGAGGAGAGGAGAGGTAGGAGGAGGATGGGATGCTCTGAGGCTGATGCTGATGCTGATGCTGATGCTGATGAGGATGAGGATGAGGATGAGGATGAGGATGAGGATGCGGATGAGGATGAGGATGAGGATGAGGACGAGGCTGCTGATGCGATGATGATGCTGATGTTGATGATGATGCCGATGATGCTCATGATGATCATGATGATGATGTTGATGATGATTATGCTTATTATGATGCTGATGATGCTGATGATGATGCTGATGCTGATGATGAGGATGATAATGATGATGATGATGATGATGGTGGTGATGCTGCGGATGCTGATGCGGATGATGCAGCTGATGATGATGATCATGATGGTGATGATGGTGATGCTGATGTTGTAAATATGAGGGTGATGATGAGGAGGAGGATGATGTTGATGATGATGCTGATGATGCTGATGCTGATGAGGATGAGGATGAGGATGCGGATGAGGATGAGGATGAGGATGAGGATGAGGATGCTGATGCTGATGATGATGAGGATGCTGATGCTGCTGCTGCTGCTGATGATGATGCGAATGAGGCTGAGGGTGAGGATGAGGATGATGATGAGGATGAGGATGAGGATGAGGATGAGGATGATGAGGATGATGATGCGATGATGATGCTGATGTTGATGCTGATGATGCTGATGAGACTGCAGATGTCCATGACGATCATGGTGATGATGATGTTGATGATGTGTATGCTTATTATTGTTATGCTGCTGATGATGATGATGATGATGATGATGATGAGGATGAGGATGAGGATGAGGATGAGGATGAGGATGATAATGATGATGATGATGATGATGATGATGATGATGATGATGATGATGATGATGATGATGATGATGATGATGATGATGATGATGATGATGGTGGTGATGCTGCGGATGCGTATGCTGATGATGCTGTTGATGATGATGACGATCATGATGGAGATATTGATGATGTTGATGTTGTAAATATAAAAAAGAGCGTGTTCTACCGCTGCTGGCGGAAAACCGGGGGGGGTCACTACCGGTTCGAACCCCTCCCCCCCCCCCCCCCCCTCCGGAAAACCGGGGGGGGTCACTACCGGTTCGAACCCCTCCCCCCCCCCCCCAGTTCATCATGAAAAGGGGGGGGGTCACTACCGGTTCGAACCCCCTCCCCCCCCCCCTCGAAAACCGAGTGGGGGTGCGGACAGTGGTGGGGACGGTGTTGGTGGGGACAGTGGTGAGGGGACAGCGGGACAGTGGTGGGGACAGTGGGACAGTGGGACAGTGGTGGGGACGGTAGTGGTGGGGACAGTGGTGGGGACAATGGTGGGCACAGGGGGGACAGTGGACAGTGGTGGGGACGGTGGTGGTGGGGACAGTGGTGTGGGGACAGTGGGAATGAGGTGGAAACAGTGGGACAGTGGCGGGTACAATGGTGGTGGGGACAGTGGTAAAGGCGGTGGCGAGGACGGCGGTGGGACAATGGGACAGAGGTACAGTGGGGACAGTGGTGGGGACAGTGGGGACAGTGGTGGGAACAGTTGGATTTTCAGTGGGACAGCGGAGGAGTCAGTGGGACAGTGGGGACAGTGGGGATAGGCAGTGGTTGGGTCCGTGGAGACAGTGGGGAGAGTGGAACCGTGGTGGGAACAGTGGTGGGAACAGTGGTGGGAACAGTGGGGACAGTGCGACAGTGGTGGGGGCACTGGTGGGGACAATAGGGACGGTGGTGGAACCAGTGGGGACAGTGGTGGTGAGGACAGTGGTGCTGGGAACAACAGTGGGGGATGTGATGCGAGCGGTGGTAGGGACCGGGAGTCGTTTGCTGGCGGTGCGTGGGGGGGGGGTCGAACCGGCAGTGACGCCCCTCCGGTTTTCGAGGGGGGGGGGGGTTCCAACCGGTAGTGACCCCCCCCGGTTTTCCGGATCCGGAGGGGGGGGGGTGGAGGAGTTCGAACCGGTAGTGACCCCCCCCCGGTTTTCGAGGGGGAGGGGGGGGGGAGGGGTTAGGGGAGGGGGAGGTTTTGCCGCGGGGGAAGGGGGGGTGGGTCCAGCAGGGGGGGGGGATTTTCGGAGGGGGGGGGCCGATCCCCGTGTTCCGGAGGAAAAGGTTGGCAATTTTCCACAGTAAAGCGGCGGTGGATCACGCTCTCTCAAATAATGATGATGATGATGATGACGATTGACGATGACGATGATGACTGATGATGATGATGATGATGATGGATGATGATATGATGATGGTGATGATGATGATGATGATGATGATGATGGATGGTGGTGGTGGTGTGATGTGATGCTGTGCTGATGATGATGATGATGATGATGATGATGATGATGAGATGGTGATGATGATGATGATGAATGATGATGATGCTGCTGATGATGATGATGATGATGATGATGATGATGATGATGATGATGATGATGATGATGATGATGATGATGATGATGATGATGATGATGATGATGATGATGATGATGATGATGATGATGATGATGATGGATGATGATGATGATGATGATGATGATGATGATGATGATGATGATGATGATGATGATGATGATGATGATGATGAGGACGAGGAGGAGGAGGAGGAGGAGGAGGCATCCTCCTTCGAACCTCACAACCTCAGAAGCCTGCTCCCCCGCCGCCGCCCCGTCACGCCGTGCAGGCGAGGGTTCTGCCCGCCGCTGCGCTGGCGGCGCCAGGCGGAGCGCTGGCCAGAGAGCGGGCGCGCGCTCGCGCGCGCGCGCGGCGGAGCGGTTCGGCCTCGTCGGAGGGCGCAGGTCGCGGAATTGCCACCGGCTGGTTTGGGGCAGGCGGGTCCTTCCAGGGTCCCTCCTCCTCCTCCTCCTCCTCCTCCTCCTCCTCCTCCTCCTCCTCCTCCTCCTCCTCTTCCTCCGTTTCCTCCAGGTCGCGGAATTGCCACCGATCCTGGGCAGGCGGGTCCTTCCAGGGTCCGTGTCGATCCGATCGATCCGATTCGGTATCGATTCTGGCTGGGTCGATCCGGTTCGATGCTGACTGTCTGACGCTCCGATTGCGGCCCGGTGCTCGCGCGGCGATGCTCTGCATCCCGGCGCGGCCGATCCGATTGTTCTTCGATTTCGTGCCGATATCGCCCGATCCGAGGCTCGCAGTGTGATGCGATCCGAGTGCCCGATTCGGTGCTGGCCGATCCTACCCTCTCGGCCAAGCCAGGATGGCGCATGCACCGAAGGAGCCCCGCCAGGATGGACGTGGCCAGGATCTCGGTGCAGGTGAGTCGGCGGCGCTCTCCTGCTGTGCAGTCTGCACTCCCCCTCCTCCTTCATCCTGGAGGAGGATTAGATATAGGTGCCTCTCCGCACTGACACTGTTCGAGGCCTCGGGAGGCCTCCGTAAGCCTCATGCGCGCATTGTTCCAACCGTTTGATCGCGAGCTCGACTTCGCAGGCAGCCCACGACGCAGGTCATCTTCACGCGCAGCCAGGGGGGGGACTCAGCACGACCACGACGATTGGAAGAGAATCCTGGCAGGGGGCAGATCATGCGTGGAGCCGTTGCGACGGGAGCTCCAGGTGCAGCAATCATTGTCGCCCGAATCGGGGAGAGCACGTGGTTATCGCAGCGGGCGTATGGACGGTGGACGCAAGTAGGACTCTTGGCAGGGCTGGTTCGTTGGTTACCCACCCTTTGCTGGCCTGGCATGGAGGAGCTTCGGGCCATCCGCTCTGGCCTGGCCTAGGGGGGAGCGGATGGAGAAGGGAGAGAGGGGAGGGAGGGAGGAGAGAGGGAGGAGGAGGGGAGGGGGAGGGGGAGAGGGAGGAAGAAGGGAGGAGGAGAGGGAGGAAGGGCAGAAAGGGAGGGAGGGAGGAGGGAGGGAGGAGGGAGGAGGGGCAGTCGGCCAGACGCCTCGGGCTGCCGGGTGCTGGGAGACGAGGCAGAGAGGACGAACGCATGCGACGGCGGTGGCAAAGAGCAGGTATTCATCGAACCACAAACTTTCGGAGCTCCGCGCGGGTTTCTCGGATCAGCGCTGAGGCCCTCCCGGCGCCGCCCCTCGCGCGCTCCGCGCGCCAGGCAGGGGGGTCCAGCGCAGATCAAAGGAGTTCGCGCGGACCTTCAACGGCTCATGGTTGTTCGACCTCTTATATACAGAGGGTGAATTACCTACCCCGCTCTCGCTTCCAGGCAAAACCAAGTAATACCACGCGCCTCCTCATAAAGCAGCCTGACCGTTGTGGGCCACCCCACAGGTTGGTTCTCATTTGGAAGCGAGGGTGGTCAAACGCGAGATAGGTTCGTGCGCCTCGTCGCGATAACAGCGGCGAAGAAGCCAGCGAACAGATTCTTGGAGGACTCCGGAGGCTTCTAGAGATGTCCAAGAGAGGTTTTGGAGGTCCCCGAAGAGGGCCGAGCGCGTGCAGAGATCGGCGCTCGACCCTCGCATCGACGATCGTCTGAGCGTGTGTAAGCACACATGTGTGTTCGCCCCGGTCCGTTCCGCTGGACGTGGGCCGCCCGTGCCGGCCCTCACTGCGCCGCCCCTTCGTCGCACTGCAGGGCGTCGATGGATAAGCCCACGTCGGCGCTAACACACGCTCTGGATCATCGATCGGAACTCGAGCTTCGATCTACGACGACCACGCCGACGCCGACGACGACGACGACGACGACGACGACGACGACGACGACGACGACGACGACGACGACGACGACGACGACGACGACGACGACGACGACGACGACGACGGCGGCGACGGCGACGGCGGCGACGACGGCGGTGACGCCGCCGCCGACGACGACGAAGCGAGCTTGCGCCCCCGCCGCCCAGCCGGACACCTACCTGGACCCCTCGGAGGCGCCGCTCCCCGTTCGCGGGCGGGCGCCGCCGTCGCCTCCCCCTGCCCGCCACTCTCGGCCCCGTCATCGTCGTCGTCGTCGTCGACGCCGCCGCCCTCGTCCCGCCACCTCCCACTGCGCCTCTGCCTCTCCTCCACCTCCCCTGCCTCCTCCCCATCCCTTCCCCCCTCTCTCTGGCTGCGGCTTTCTCGTGGGGCCAAGCCCCCATTTCTCTGCTCCCCCCCTCTCCTATCCCACCCCAGTTCCCCCTCCTCTGATCCCCCCCGCCGCCCCCCCCCCTCCGCCTCCCTGTCCTGCGCTTCGCCACCCTCTCCCCCACCTCCGTCTTCTCCTCATCTCCCCTCCTCCCCCTGATCCTCCCCCCCTCTTCTCCATTTCCTCCGCTGCCCCCTCCCTCCTCTCCGCCCCCTCACCGCGGCAAGACCCCTCCCCCGCCGCGGGCCCCCGCCCTCCCCTCCTCTCCACTCATTCCCCCCCCCCTCTCTCTCTCCACATCTCCTCTCTCACTCTCACCTCCGCCTCGAAATGCCCGTCCGTCTAGCCATCGGCCCGCGGCCAGCCAACGCCACCTGGCGTTGTCGCGCCCTCCCCCACCCCCCCACACGCTTCCCTTCTGCGCTAACGAGTCCGCCAATCGTGAGGGGCGCCGGCGGATGCCGGCGATGCTCCACACCGCCGCTGCCGGCTCAACTGGGTCGGGCACCGCCCGAATCCTGCCGCCCCCCGCATCTCCGAGCCGAGGGCGCCGGCTGCGGCGCGCGCGCGCGGCGGGGGCTCGAGGCCCTGGCTGGGCACTGCGGCGGGCACGCGCCAAGCCCCCGAGGTGTGGCAACTTTGGGCTCCGGGGCCCTCAGAGACGCCGAGACGCCTCGGGACTGAGGAGTGAGGCTCAGGGGATTGAGGGCACGGCCACACCGTGGCTAGAGGCACGGTGGCGGATCATTTGAGGCATGCCGTCTGTGTGTTTTATTGGCACGGACCCGGTCTCCCTTCATGCATGTCGTCTGTACGCCTCAAGCGGTACAGACCAGACATCGCTTGAGGTGTTTCGTCTCTGTGTCTCGAGTGGTACCAGGCATGTACCGCTTGAGGCAAGTCGTTTCTATGCCTCAAATGGGACCGACCAAGTGCCGCTTGAGGCATGTCCCCTGTATGCCTCAAGTGATACTGGCCAAGTACCGCTGAGTGTTCGTTGGAAGCTCGTCGTCGGCCTCTCAGGAGCCACCTGGAGCCCGCTTTACACGCTTGGTGGCCCGTTTTGGGGCCTCTTATGGTCTCTTCTGGGCCTCGTGGGGAACTCGTGGGCCTCTTGGGGGCCTCTCGGGAGCCTCTTGAGCCCCTCGGGAGCCTCTTGGGGTCTCCTGGGGGCCTCTTGTGGCGGAACGCTCGCATTTCCGGTTCGTGGTTTCCCTTTTCGGCCCTTCGTGGGGCCGTCTGGGGGGCCCCCGAGACGCCCAAAGATCGTTCCAAGATGCCCAAGATGGCCCCAAGACGGCCCTCGTGGTCACGGCTGGATTCGCTTGGATCTGCTTGCCAGAACGCACCCCAGGACAGGTCCAGAGGGCGGCGGGCTTTGAAAAAGCTTGATGGGCCGAGAAAAACGTCTTGACACGAACTAAGACGGCACGCTGTTCCACAATTCGGTGTTTGGAGGCCTGTTTCGGGTCTTGAGGCTTTCAGGCTTTCAGGAAACGACATGGGGACGAACAACATCCAGAAAACGATGTCCAAGCGAGTTGCCCTGATCAGGTGCATGCAGTTGAATCGAATGTTTGGAAAGCCGTCATACCTCAAGAAGGGGAGGATGGAGGAGGAATCGGAGGAGGAGGAGGAGGGGGATGAGGGAGGAGGGGAAGGAATGAACGGATGAGGAAGAGGAGTAGAAGGAGGAGGAGGAGGAGAAGGAGGAGGAGGAGGAGGAGGGTAACAAAGGCGAGCAGAGAGGCATTTTGGATGTTTCTCGGAGTCTCTTCGGATTTCTCTTGAGAGCTTCTTGGAGTCCTCTTGGACGTCTTGGGATCCTCCTGGCGGTCCTGGGGGCCTCTCGGAGCGCCTCGGGTGCCTCGGCGGTGCCTCTTGGGACCTCCTGGGGGACTCGCGGGAGCCTCTCGGGGGCCTCTTGTGGGCCTCTTGGGGGCCTCGTGGTGCTATCTTGTAGGAGTTCGATCAAGCTGCTCGCCTACAAATGCCTCTCAGATTTCCCTCGCAGCGTTCGTGGGGCGCTCTTGGGCACTCTTGGGGCCGCCTTGGGTCCCTATTCGGCTCCTCGTGGGGCTCTTGTGGGCCTTCTTGGGGCCATCCTGAGGCCTCGGAGGGCAGTCGACAGCGAACCGGCGAGATGGCAAACCACATCGATTGTCTCAAGATCTCTGAAGGATTAGGGCCCAAAGACGGCCCAAGAGGGCCGACAATGCCCAATCAGGCGCTGCGCGCCGCGGTGAGGGCGGAGCGCGTGTCGGGCCTGGGCCTGAACGCCAGGCTCTCTGCTCGGCCAGAGGCCCAGCAGGCCGTCGCGAACGTGGAGGTGATCCTTAGAGCTAGCGATGCCGGCAAAGGCCAGCCAGGGACCCCCCCTCAAGGAGGCGGGCGAGAGCGCGAGCTGCGGTGGGGCTCCGCGCGACTCTTCGGGGCGGGGGCCCAGCCCGCACGCTGGCGCGTCGCACCCCCCGCGGCCGCGCACGCAGCGCATCGGCTCCTCGAAATCCGCGAGGGCGAGCGGAGCATGCTCGCCTGCGAGTGCGAAGGCGAGATGCATCCCAACACCGTCGGCTCCAGCGCTTCAACAAGGCGGGCCAGGCTGTTCGGAGCCTGACTCCGGGCGATCTTCTGCCTGCTGGGAAGCGACTGGCCCGTGGAAAAGCTCACCCACGCCGACGACCTGGAGGCGATCGGAGGGCCGAGGCGTGGGCCGGCTTCGAGCATGAATGGATCTGTTCCACTGCGATTAAACCACTCGCAGCATGGGCCTCTTTTGGGCGAGGCCGGCCTGGGCAGCTGCATGGCGCCGGGAAACGGTCGGCCGCGGCGCCACGCGCGTGGGCGAGCTGGCGTCGGGCTCGGGGCGCCTGGGTTTCGTGGCAATGGTCCTTCTGTGGGAGAGGCCGCCCTTGGAGCCCGCGCGCGCCTGGCCCGCCAGCGGGAAGTCCCCCCGTGGGTGGGCCCGCTCGTGGTGACGGGGTTGGCAAGCGACGGGCACGCGGGCAAGGGCTGGGGAGACCCATCAAGTTCAAGACCGACAGCGCCAGGCACTGCCGCTCGGAAGCGAAGGCGGAGGGCGGGCGAAGTAGGATGGGCGGCCGAGAAGTTCCGCCGAGCGGCAGCATGCGAGGAGCTCGTTGGCACGCGCTGGAAGAAGAGAAGGAATGGTCCCCATGGGCGTGGGGCAGGGCAGACGGCCCGAACAGGGCCATCGCGGCGCCAAAACTCCTCGTATCGATCTCCTGCGCGAAGCTGCTCTCGAGGCACGGGGATGTCGACGGACCCCGGACGCCCAGGGAACGCCTGCGCAGTGGCCAGGGCCATGTCGACCAAGTGGCCGTCGACTGTCCTCCACGTTGATCTCCCGGAGGAGCTGGGGTCGCGCCGGGCGGCGCTGGGCCTGGACTGGCCACCGCGCGAGGAGAGCCAGGAGGCCGACGACTACAGCAACGCGAAGACGAAGGACTTCGACAAGCCCCTCAGGATCCACGCGGCGGCCGCGGACCTGAGGCGGCACGCGCTCAATGAGATGATGCGGACCCCCAAGAATTCTACGAGTCGGTCGTCGACGAGAGGGCGACCGGCTCGGGCAGGCCACGCGCAGTTGGGCGCGGCCGCGGGGGCAGCGGACGGCGCGAGCGCCTTTGAGCCGCGGCGACAGCTCCGCTCGTTGCGTCTCGGGCGACGACGCGCGGGCGGAGCGGGGCGCGGCTGCGGCGCCGCCCGCGCAGGATCGCCCGCCAGCGAAGACGCGGCAGCCCGCGGGCGAACCGGGAGGCCGCGCCCGCCGCGGCACCGCTGGCAGCGGCTGCAGCGCATGACTGCTCGGAATACATCTCCGCCCAAGAGCCGTCGGCCGTTCGCCCCTGTCGCGCCCGGGCGGGACTTGGCGGCGGCCGCCGTGCAAGGGGGGCTTCCGAACGGTAGCGTAGCGCGCCTGCGGCGCGGTCTCGAATTCCCATTGTCCGGTTGGTCCTCCACGGCGGAGGCCCCCACCTACTTGGGCCCCGGCCCTTCCGCCGCGGGCGGGGCGGGGGGGTGCAAACCGCGGCGGCCCCATTGAGGACGGGCAGGGCTTCGAGGCTGCGCCTTTCGCCCCCCGAGCGCGCGCGAGCGGCGAATAGCGGCGGCGGCGTCGCAAATGAAGGGGAGGGAGGAGCGAAGTAAGAAGATGGTTGGGCCCTCGACGCTCGCAGTCTCTCCCTTTCACTTCCGGCTCTCGTTCCTTGCGTTTCACCCCCAGTGCAGCGGGGGGGCATCATGTTCTTGGGAGTGGCAGGTGCCCTGCGCGCAGGGCCGCCGTCACCGCTATCGCACCGCCATGGGGGCTATGCGAGGATGCGCCCCCGCGTGCCGACACGAAAGTGCAACCTTTTCCTTGCCCGACGCGTGTGGCCATTTTGGCTCAGGCGTTTGGCCGTTTCAAACTAACCCATCCACGACCACCCCGGGGAATCGAGTTCTTGGGAGCCTTGCGCACAGGGCCCCCGGCATCGCCGCCCGTAAGAAGGGCATCGCCGTCAGTTCATCCCCCCCTCACCGCGATTTTACCGCTAGCTTTTCGAGGGCGCAGCGCGTATCTCCCGCATTTCTAAACCAATCGCGTCTACCCAGAACACAAGCATCTGGGTGCTGGATTTGATTTGTTGCGCGACTCGCTTCGCATCGCATCATGGGAGGAACAATCACTCCGACCCCGACGATTGGTGTTTACTGAACGGTCCTCAGCGTTTGGTGAACAACTTAGCTCTATTTGATTCCGCCCATGGGTGCGTTCACGAAACGGCTTCGCTTGTGGGGGTGCTTATGATGTGGGTGGACTTGCTGCTGTCGATCTCAAGGGTTTGACAATTGTACATGCAGTTGGGTTAGCTCTCTTCATCTCCACCTTTGTTGCCAGAGCGTTCCTCTTCAACTTTATGGTGTGGGCAATATGTAACTGTTTACGGGTTTGGTTTTATTCTGTGCACCTCAATCTTTCTGGGTCCCGGGACTACTGGTACCCCCAGACTACAGGCACCCCTTCCGTACACACCCTCGGACTACAGGTACCCCCCCCGGACTACAGGTACCCCCCCAGACTACAGGTACCCCTCCCCGGACTACAGGTACCCCCCCCGACTACAGGTACCCCCGTTAGGCGTTACAAAACCTTTCCGAAACTACAGATCTTTTCCGAAGCGTGTGTGTGTGTGTGTGTGTGTGTGTGTGTGTGTGTGTGTGTGTGTGTGTGTGTGTGTGTGTGTTCGCGCGTGTCAGCGCGTGTGCGCGTGCGCGTGACGCGTGCAACGATGCGCGTGCAGTCCTGCGCGCGCAAACACTCACGCGCCGAAACCCGTGCGCGTGGAGCCACGCGTGCTTCGACGAAAAACATGCGCGCCCCCCCGGACTACAGGTACCCCCGCGCGGCAGGTACCCACCCCGAACTCCAGGTACCCCCAGAACTATTGAGGGGCACAGAGTAATGTTGGTGATGCTTGAATTTTTGTCGCGATGCTAATTCGCACAATATCGTTAGCCTCCCACCCTGTAGCGGTGTCCCGCGATAGCGAGCACAACAACATGGCAATTCAGCCATGCACGGACATGAATGCGAAGGTGAAGGGGTACCCCCGTGCCACAGACCGTTCTGTATGATGCGTGCGCTCTCACCCGGGCCCGCTCACCGCTTGGCATTGGCCGGACAAAGTGGCCGAGACGGACATCGTGGTTTTTGGGGCGTTCGCCAGCGCATATTCGCCGCAGGCTTTATGCGGAGCTCAGAAAGAAAGAACGGCTCGAAAATGAATGACGGCCTCGCCCCCTAAGCTGCTCCTGCGGGGCGTTCTAAGGGAAGTTGGCGTAGGCCATTTCGGCGACAACCCTCATTGCAGCCAGTTGGACGAGCGAACGGGCAGAAGCGTGCGGCAGGTGTGTCACGTCATCAGGCCGATGCACAGGCTGAACCACACTTTGTCGTCCAATAGAGGCATGTGCAGGACATGGTGCCTGCTAGATATCTTCACGTTCTGCCATCACCTGACCTACGCGAGATGTCTTGAATCAGGGTTAGCCAGGTCTTCCTCGGATTAGCCGCAGCTGCAGCACACGCTCGTTTTGCCGTTTTCCTCCCAGGGGCCAGTGTCGCCGAGCCGAAACGAAAGGGGTTGTGTTGATGCCATGGACTTCCCAGATGCGTGGGAAGGGTGAAGCGACGGAGGAATCTTAGTTATCCAGTTGCCTGCGGGCGACCCCGCCACCATGCTTGTGCAACAGCGCTTCAGGAAGGAGGCTGGGTGTAGGAACGGCGCAATTCGGACATATGACATGATAGGGACAGGTCGTGAACTCGACATCGTCTTCGTCCGCGCGGTGGGGATGAGGTCGAGTTTACACCCCCGCAGCAGTTCAATGAGTGGTCTGAATTGGGAAGGGTCGTGATTCCGACATCGTATTCGTCAGCGGGGTTGGGAGGAGGAGGAGGAGGAGGAGGCGGAGCAGGAGGAGGAGGAGGAGCAGTGGAGGAGTGGAGGAGTGGAGGAGAGGAGTCGTAGGAGGAGGATGAGGAGGGGGAGGGATAGGGAGAGGGAGAGGGAGAGGGGAGAGGAGGAGGGGAGGGAGGAGGGGTGATGATGATGATGATGATGATGATGATGATGATGATGAGAGAGGAGGAGGAGGAGGAGGAGGAGGAGGAGGAGGAGGAGGAGGAGGAGGAGGAGGAGGAGGAGTCGTAGGAGGAGGAGGAGGAGGAGGAGGGGGAGTTGGAGACAATGAGGACGAGGATGAGGAAGCTTCTTGGGGCCCTCTTAGGGCGTCATTGGGGCCTCCTGGGGGCCTCATGGGGGCCTTTTGCTTGTGGGCCTCCTGGGGCCTATTGGGGGCCTATTGGGCCCCCTGGGCCGTCGTAGGGAGGCGATTGGCCCGTCTGACACCTTGGGAGGCCGTCTTGGGGGCTCCCCTGGGCCGTCCTGACTCCGTTTGGGGCGCTTTAGGGCACTCTTTCGGCACTCTTAGGAGGCTCGTGGGCGATATCGGTGCCATCGTGGGCCGACTCGGGGCCCTCTTGGGGGCCTCATGGGTTGTCTTGGCGCTATCTTGGAGGCCTCGTGGGCCGTCTTGGGCGGTCGGAAGCCCAAGCAGGCGAGAACCTCAGCACCCTTCAAACACCCAAGGACAAACACTGTGTGTTACTTCCTCGGGCTCTGTTGGAGGGCCTCTTGGAGCCCTCTTGGGTCGTCTCGGGAGCGAGCTGTCATGAGGCCGTCTTGGGATCTTCTTGAGCCGTACTGGGCCAGTTTGGTATCAGTTTGATTGCCCTTGAAGACGTCTTGGAGGCCATCTTGCCCGTTTGGAGGCCCAAAAGAGCGCCAGCAAGCAATCTATTCATCTATACACATGTATATACTACTTCAGTAATATGCCGCCCTATTTGACGTGAAGCAATCCAAACTCGCAGCCCCTCGGCTCGATCGATCCTACTCCCTCTTCCTTCCTCCCCCCCATCTGTCTGTTCCCCAAAGGGGTCAAACCGCCCCGACCCCGATAATTGGCGTTTCCTCAAAAGTCCTGCGCGATAAGTGAGCAGCCCTGCCCTGATCGACTCCCTCCTTATGATGTGCTTGCTGAAGGTCTTCGCCTGTAGCGGTGCTTGATGCGAGGGCTCTTTCGCCTCCAGTTCCCCTACATTCTGGCCGTTCTTCCTGCTGAACCTCCAGCTCTCTTCCTGGACCTTCAGCTCCCCGCGCAATTGCCTGAAGGCCTCTCCAAATGCGGCTACAGCAGACCGGCTAGGCACATCCATTTGAGAGACGCATAAAAACGGATTCGATTGCGCGGACATGTGCGCGTAAGTTGCCTTGCCCGTCTCAGGTTGCGCGTAAGTGTTTTCGTTTCCAAGGCAGCGTGCCGCGTCGGCAGCCCGCGTAAGCCACCGCGTATGCTCATGTGTACATCCGCAGTGGAGCGGCAAGAGTTGTGATTTGTGATGCACAGCTTTGGACTTCTACCGCCCTTACCGTTGCCTCTGCCCGGGGGACGCCTCCTGACCACCTCACCTACCCCGGCCGAGCTGGTCCTGGGTCCAGGGTCGGTACACATGCCCATAGGGGAGGAGGCCCACAGGGAGGCCCACAGGGAGGGTGAGAGACACCCCAAACGCCCTGGCCCTCAGCCCTTAGCCCCTTCCCTTCGGACCCATGATCCCCACTCTACAACATTTGTTGCGTCGAGCGATCCCTACCCAGGAACGCGACGCGGTATACCCAGGAAGCACGGGGCCCTTCGCGACCTGGCGGCCACTCGCCATTCGGCGAAGACTCGATGCAGGATGCACAGGGATGTCTGGGACACTTGTGGCCTGGCGGGGCGGTATGCATAGTGAGAGAGGCAGGTCTGGAGTTATCTGTGTTAAAGAAACTACAACTTGTTGGGTGGTGGAAGAGCCAAACATCCACAGTCTGGCTTCCTCAGATCCTTTGCTTAGTCGTCGATCTCTCTGTCTCTCTCTTCTTTTCCCCACGCTTCTTGATGATCGACCAGAGTCCAAGAAGTTTTGCCCTCGATTCGGATGGGGTCCAATTGAGACACTTTCGGTTTGCCCAGCGGACGCTCATATTCCGGATCATCAGTTTTTCGAGGCGCATCCAGCCCTTGCGATGAGACGCCTCCAGGAGACCCAGAAAAGTTACGAGAAGCGCCTGGGAGGGCCACCGTTATCTCGATTGGTCCTCCTCCGGGCCGCGAGAAAATCGAGAACCACACGCGACGGAATGCTTTCGACCAGGTTCGGCCTGAGTCCCCCCTTCATGAGCCGCTGCCGTGGCAAGGATCAGATCCGTTCTTTGGCCAATCAGTGTCGACCCGATCAGATCACCCGCACACGGCGGGATTATATTGATCGGTTTTTACGAGGCCTCCCACCGAAAGCACAAGGCTCGAAGTGATGGGTTTGCTCGTTCTTTGATGTTGCTTCGCAACTGTTCTGATTCCTGATCCCTGATTCCTCCCTCTGTCTCCTCCCTCCTCATCGTCGCTTGGTTGGATCTGAGCGTGCGGCGGACCCGCCCTCGCCCCGAGGGCGGATCCGCGGGGGACGCGCAAGGGCCTGAGCAGAGGCGGCGACAGCACGGCCGCACAGCTTTAGCATGCAGTCCAGAACCAGACGTTGTGGCCTCCAGCTTGTGCTTTCTTTCCTGCCTCCTCATCGTCATCCCTCCCTCCTCCTCCTCCTCCTCCTCCTCCTCCTCCTCCTCCTCCTGCCTCCTCCCTCCCTCCTCCTCCTCCTCCTCCTCCTCCTCCTCCTCCTCCTGCCTCCTCCCTCCCTCCTCCTCCTCCTCCTCCTCCTGCCTCCTCCTCCTGCCTCCTCCTCCCTCCCTCCTCTCCGCCGCTGCCGCGCCACGCCCCCCGCCTCCCGTCGCGCCCAGCTGCCGGGGCCGCCGACGTTCCCCTCGAGCGAGCAAGACTATCGGAGCTCGCTGGCGCTCGCAGCCGCCACCCCCGGGCGCGCATCCGCCCCGGAGCATCGGGAGCCTCGCGACGGGGGTCAATGCAAACGGGGGTCAGCCAGAGCGCCGGATCTTGCAGGATCCTGCAGGGCCAGGGTCGCATTGACCCGGGTTTGGGTGCAGGATTTTGCAGGATTCTGCAAGGTCTGACTGACCCGGGTCTGGATTGACCCGGGTCAGCAAGTCTCCGAGAGCAACGTTACACGCTGGGCGCTGAAGGCAGATATTTTTTAGACCCCCAGATCCCAATCCAATTGGGGCACCTTCCTATTGCAAGGATCCAGCGTTTTTCCCTCTTCCCTCCTCTTTCGGGGGGGCGGGCGGAAGCCCAGTCTATCTTCACCGCCCTCCTACGGTATGCTTCAACCCATTTCTCTGACCGACGGGTCGGGGGGGGGGTGCGGGCTCGAAAATTGTCGAAGGTCTTCGGAAGCTTTCGGAAGGTCTCGAAGCCCGGGGTGGTTTCCATCAGCTGCGCCTCGTCGAGGGCGGTCCAGGGGTTACCGGGATCGTCCCGAACGGCCGCTGGAGAGCCGAGGCATGGCCCGAAAGCTAGGGGGAAACGTCAAGGGGCTAGGCTCAGAGGGGAACGCATTGGCCCCGCCCGGGTGCGGGCGGATTTGCTATGAGAGGCCTTTTGCCGATTCCAGGTCGATGCTCCCCCCTTGAGCTTGTTCCCCCCCTCACGTTGCCCCTCATCAAGACATCGGGCGTCCAGGTCAGAAAGGCCAGGATGCCTCTGCAAGTGCCTCCTGGAAGCCGGGGGGGGCTTCTGAGAGGGTCCTGCCCTGCCTTTCTAGAGCCCCCCCCATCCGCGGAGTTCTCGCGTGGCCCCTCGAGCAAGAGAGACCGTTAGAGCTCGTTGGCGCTCGCATCCGCGCCCGCCCCTGGGCCCCCCCGCCCCTTGCGGAGTCACCTCCCTCCCCCGGCCTTCAGTCAAGACGCTCAGGCAAGACGCTCTCGCTTCCCTGTTCAGCGCTTCTTCTCTGGCACCGTCGAAGCCGAGGGAAAGGACGGGTGACCTTCCCAAGGGTGCCCCTGCATCCTCGCCTCGTCGGCGCATAATTACTTGGCCTTTCTCGTGGGCCGCGCCTCGTTCGAAGAGCCTCGGCATGGCCCTCCAATCGGGCGAAGAGAACTATGCACATGCACCGATCCTGACAACGTCCATCCTTGACCCAGGATCGGTGCATATGCCTTCCTGGCCAAGGTAGGTGGGCGTATGCACCGATCCTGGGCTCAGGATGGGCCTGGCCAGAATCGGTGTATGTGCATAGTTCTCTTTCCTCCATCCAAGGCCCCTGCGCATCCTCATCGCGCATCCCTGCTGTCAGTTCTGACTGTGCTCAGCGCTCCTCCTGGCAGCGCGGTGGCTGCACTCCTCTCAGCGGGGGGGGAGGCCCGTCGAGACGACGGCGGCCTCTCTCTGGCAGCTTCGTGCCGCCCCTCTCGCTGGGCCTCCCGCGGAGGCCTCTCGCCGCCACGGCTGCGTCAGCACAGCAGAAGCTAGGCAGTCAGCACGGCTACTTTATTCGTGAAGTTACTTGGTCTTAGGGTTTTAACACATCGTCGCAGCCACGCAGAGGGCGTGCGAAGCGACGCCCCAAATGCTCGGTCTCCAGCGCTTCTGCGCGGCGGCGCCCCCGCAGGCACGCAGAGGGCACGCGTGGCGACGGGGGCGTCGCCGCGCAGAGCCTCTGAAGACGGGACATTTTGGAAACCAATTGTTTCCACTACTAAAGTACAGCCCTCCTCGAGATCAGGCGCAAGTCCTCATACGGCCCCCTCGCCCCCGCATCTCAGTGCTGACGGGCGAGCGCGGCGCGGCCCGCGGGGGGGGGAACGGAACCGTTGCAGTCCCCAGCTTCGGCGCCAGCATCGAAAATGGGGGCCCCGGGGCGCCGCCACGTCGTTGGAGCAGCTCGCGTTTGCTTTCGAGGGAGGAGGAGGGGGAGGGGGAGGAGGGAGGGAGGGGGAGGAGGAGGGGGGGAGGAGGAGGAGGGGGAGGAGGAGGAGGAGGAGGGGGAGGAGGAGGAGGGAGGGAGGAGGCAGGAGGAGGAGGCAGGAGGAGGAGGAGGGGTAAGGATGCGTGACTTCCCAAAGGTAAAGGGCCCCCCCCTGCCCCTTCTGCCTCCTCGGTCCGTCCCCAGCCCCCTCTCGACGGCCCGCCCCGGCTCGAAGAGCCTCGGCATGGGCGCCCAAGGGTCTGGCATCCTCATCGCGAACCCTTGCTACAGCGGAGACCCATGCCAAGAAACACCCTGCTTGTCTCCAGGGTGCGCTGGGTTTCTTGGGTTTCGATGGTTTCGCAATGGGGAGCGCGACGCTCCCACACCACAACTCGATGGACGTCCTGGGGTCTCAGGGTTGGGTTTCTTGTGGATGGTTTCTTGTGGTCGGGCCTCCACGGTATCAGTGAGGACTGTATGCGTGATCGACCCCAGGAGGGGGTTGGGGATCGATGTCGAGCAGATGTTTGGGCTGGGCGGGAGAACCGCCGTGGTCTCAAGCGGCCCCTCGGCGATATCCCCCCCCTGGCCGGGTCCCCTCGCCGCCGCGCGGAGGCCGCAGCGAGGCACCGAGCCGTGGAATAGAAGGGGGATAGCCGATCGGGTGTTGCCTCGGTTGAACAGGTGCTGCGCACACCCGGACAGCGATCAGGTGCTGTACAGTGAGCGGCTTGAAAAAGGAGCATTTGCTTTTCACAAGGGGCTCGGTCGTTCCTTAGGTTTGCATGCGTTATTTACAGTTCCTTATGCGTTATTTGTTCTGTATCGTTCCTTATACGTTATTCCTTGGAAAAAAAGGGCTTCGTTCCTTATTTATCGCTCCTTAGGTCAGGCCGATGACTGTAGTAGTTTCTGTCCGTGCCGCGATCGCTCCAGATATGGACCCTTGGGTGCCGCACGGCGTGCATGGTGTGCCTTCGCCGCGACAGCAGGCAACATGCAACTTGTCACGCCAGGGGTCTTGCACGCGAATCGATGCAGGCCTGTCGGATGCTCTCATCGCTTTTGTTATTCTGATCGCCATCGTGACCGGCATCCTATTGAGCATAACGTCCCTTGGGGGGGGGATGACAGGAATGAGGTGGGCGGGTAGGAGAGCCGTAGCACATGTGAAAGAACTCGTTTTGTGGTAAATTGCAAGGTGGGGGAGGTCGGGATCCTTCCCCTCAATCCCCCAGGAAGGGTGCAGGGGGGCTAAGGACGCTCCCTTCCCCCCCTTCCCCGGTGCAGGGGGCGGGATTGTCGTACCCCCTTCGCGCTGGCAAACGACGACCACGGACGACAACGACCGACTCGTCGTCGTCGTTGTCGTCGCTTGCCGGCGCGAGGGGGGGTGTCCCGAAAACCCTTTTGTCCCCTTGCACGGCGGGGGCGGGGAGGGATCCGAGTTGTGAGTCCTGGTTTCGAGAAACACTATTGAAAACCACGTACCCTTGACCCGTGCAACTGCTGGAAAGTGTAATGCTTAGCGAACGTGTTGAAAGAGGTATCCTTCAGAGCAGCCAGACTATCCTTCACACACATTGGCAGTGCCACGAGGATGAGTTTGCTAGTATTGGCATCCAGCTAATCTTGCCACGAGAGGCCTTGGGGGCCATCTTTGGTGGCAAAGGGTCTAGGCATCTGGCCTGGCGCACCCGTTGAGACGAAAGCTGCGGAACATGTTGGATGTTTTCTATACAAGTCGGGCCTCCGAGAGGCTCACGCGGTACAGATAGTCGAAGAGCGCTCAAGAGCACCCTGCAATTGAAGACATCTTGGTTGGGCCCCTCAATGTCACTAGCCATACTCTGTATACACAGTTCTATGAGCCTCAGGGCACTCCACTACATGCTCAAAGCAACCTGGAAGGTATCCAGGAGTTTTGTTCCCTACCTAGGCTCTGCCTAGAAGGGTTCTTACTCGGTTTGCTCAAAGGGCCGGGCAGTTGGGCACGCCCCGGGCGGTTCCCCCGGCATCCGCCCCGCGGTTCCCCCAGTGACGTTCCCTTAGCTTCGCGTTGCTTATCTCATCTTAGCATAGCTTATTTAATATTACCTTAGCTTAGCTTCATCTTACCTCAGTTTTATCTTAGCTTAGCTTACCTTCATCTTAGCTTCGCTGAGCTTTAACATAGCATAGTTTTAGTTTAGCTTTAGCTTAGCTTTAGCTTAGCTTTAGCTTAGCTTTAGCTCAGCTTTAGCTTCGCTTTACTGTTACTATTAATGCTGCTTTCCTAGGGGCTCCAACTCCTAGGTAGGGTCGCACTGGGATAATTTGGTTGTCGATGTTATTTAGGTGGTTTGGCGGAGTGCAGCGGGGGCTGCATGGTTCTGGGGGAGGACTGCACACTTGCATGGGTGAGGAGGAGGGGGGGGTTGAGGAAGAGCATGCAGAGGAGGAGAGCGTTGACGAGAACGAGAGCGGGCGGATCGCACGATCGACTCGTCTGACCGTCTCGAGAGGTGGGGGCACAGAGGTCTCAGGGCCGGCAGGCCCTCCTTCCTGACGGGCCGCGCCCACGCTGGCCCGCCTCCCTGCGAGTCCTGGTGGCAGCTGCTCGGCGCCCAGGTGCCAGACTGCAATCGGGGTACTCGCGCCCGGAGAGGACTCCGGCATCGCTCTCTCTCCATCTCTCTTGGGCGTTGCGCAGGTCACCGAGCGCGTTGCACTACTCGCAAAGTGCCTACTCGCAAACGTCCGAAAAACACTTGTCTGCTTTGATGTGATGTATCGTACATTCCCTGCGGCGGATCCAGGCCATTTGCGAGTAGCGACTTTGCGAGTAGTGGAACGCGCTTGTCTATTTAGGGCACCTCAGATGCACGAAAGGTGTACGCTCCCCCCCCACCATGCAACGCCCGACTCTCTCGCTCTCTTTCTCTCTCTTGGGCTGAAGCTGTTGTGCTTCCCCCTCCCAGGCTGTCCTCTCACCGAAAAGCCTTCGAGGACTGCCTGACCTGACCTGACCTGACCTCTCTCTGTCTCTCTCTCTCTGTGTCTCTCTCATGTGCCAGAGCAGTTGCCTCTGCCGCTGCGCTCCGCTGCACCGGATGACGGCGATGGGGCGGCTTGGGGGTCAGGGTCGACTGGCTCGACCCGGTGCGTCGCGAGGGCGCCCCACCCGAGGTGGCCCCGCTGGGTCGCAAAAAAAAAACAAAAACAAAAAAAAAACAAGGATTGCACAAAAAACACACAAACAATCAACAAATAATAAAAAAAAGGATGGCAAAACAACAAAAAAAAGGTTTTTTTTTGCGATCACTGTTTTCCCAGAAAGATCTCTCTGAAGATTTCTAGTATTCCCCACCCCCGCAGGGAATTCCACCCCATGCCACACTGGGTTTGTCCACGACGCTTTTCGGTGAGTACTTTGCGCGGTTGAACGCGCAGTTTTGGCGGCGCCGACCGTGTGGGCAGGGTGTCGCGCTGCAGGGGTCGTTCGGCCGTCCGCGCCAGGGCGCCCAACGCCGCAAAAGAAAATGCGCTGGAACGCAAACTCTGCCATTTTTTGGTCACCCCTGAGCCGCCCCGAAGGCACTTTTAGAGTCCCTGCGGCGCGTGCGACCGTGCGCGCGCGTCCGCGCCACCCATCTCGGCACACCTCTCACACACTTCGTGCCCCGATGGGAGCTTACAGTCGGGGCGCTGAAGAAGGAACCCTTCTCGTTTGGGAGGGGCTCCGTGTTCCTTACTTGTTTCACAGTTTGCCTTCCGTTTTCCGTAGGTTTCCGATGGGAAATCGAAGTTTAACTTATGGTAAAAAGGGGCCTCGTTCCTTATTTAGGGTTCCTTAGGTCAACGCCCCGACTGTACCTGAGGCCACAGTGGGTGCGTCCATGTGCCTCCGCCCCACCAATTTCGGCACAGCCCTCGCACGTTTCGCGACCGGCCCCCGGACGGCCCAAGAGGCCCCCGAGAGGGCCCAGGAAGGGCCCAGGAGCCAGGGTGCCCCCAAAGCGGCCCTCGGGCGGACGCCTGTCGCGCGGAGGCGTTTCTCCGAGGAGGGTCAGGTAGCCATGTCACTACCCTTTGCCCGTGTTCCTCGGGGGTGGACAGAACCCCCAATAATGACACGTCGATTAGTGAATTGTCCGTTTTCGGTTCTCGAGATGGCGCCGTGGCCGTTATTTTCCAGGCTTGCGCCCGCCAGGTTTGGGCCTCAGGTCGTTTTCACTAAACCACGTTTTACTAAAGGGGGGTCTGTCCATCCCCGAGTTCCCTTTCTCGAAGCATTTGGGAGGCTCTCGTCGGCATCGCTGGATTCGCCTCGAGACCCTGGGCGGGGCACATCCCAGGAGAGGTGCGGCCAGCAGCGGTTATCGGCACTTTTGGTTTCCCCTTGGTCGCGCGGAGGTGTTCCTGCGTGGGGCGTTCCAGAGGGGGCCCTGCCCTCTGCTGATCTCGCCTCTGGCGGGGGCCGGCGAACGCGGAAGGGCGGCGGGCCCGCTGGCGGCAGGGCGGAAGGTGGAAGGCGGGCGGGAGGCGGCGCCAGCTCGAAGAAGACACAATTGCACAAGCATGAAGCATCGGCTCTGGGCCCCCCTGGCGGCGCTTCCGGCGCCGCCATTCAGCGTAGATCCACGAGATCCGCGCGGGCCTCTGAACGCTTATGTTTCTGAAATTGTCTGTTCCTCATTCAGCAAGAGACTTTGGGGGCTCTCACTTCTCCTACCACGGAATCGGTTGGGTCCAGCGAGATTTTGTTTGCCACGTTGCCCCCCATCATCGCATGAGCGAGACCCGCACCCGCTCGGCAATTTTCCTGCGGGGTTTCCTTTGCAGGGGCGGGTCCCAATTTTTCAGCTCCTCGCGGCCTGGAATCTTGGCACCCGCATCTGCTCGGCCAAACTCCGTGAGAACTTTCTGGACAGAGGCAAGTCCACCGACCGCGGTCAGCAAGTCTCGTTCCAGCCCCTGCCGTCTTTCGTGGCGCGACCTGGTTTGGCATTTCAGCGGCTATGTCCTGTTCCTGGAGCCCCTCACCAGCTGCACAACTTCCCATCTCGTGACCTTAGGGGGCCACATGCGAACCCTGCCCCTACACCCCCCGATCTCTGGGGGGGAGGCTGGGGTTCACTTCGTTCGGAAGCTCCCGAGCGAAGTGAACCCCACCCTCCCCCTCAGAAATCGGGGGGGGGGGTAGGGGCAGGGCTCGCATGTGGCCCCCCAACTTTTAGGAGGGGAAGAAACACACAGACACAATTAATCGTCGACCCCCAGGAAAATATGGGAAAATATGGAGAGTGGGGGGGAAGACAAAAACCCAGAAAATATGGGAAAATATGGGGGATATCTTTATTTGTGTGTATTTATGTGTGTGTCCCAGGGCCTCTTCAAACTTGCTCATCCTTGACCGCGGGCGCAGGGATCCTCCGCGGGGGGCCGCCTCCGCGGGCTCTCTCCGCCCCCTCCGTGCCCTCCGCGGCCCCGCCGCCCCCCCCCCCGCGGCGCGGCCCTCGGCGCGCGCCGAGAGCAGAGGGTGGTCGGGGCAGGGCGCCGGGGCGGAACCGGCCCCCGCCCAGAGAGTACAAGGACTTCGACTCCAGCATCTTCACGCCCGCGCGCCCCTGCTTGTAGGGCGACGATATCTATATATATCTATATATATATATATATATATATATATATATATATATATATATATATATGTCCACTGCTCCTGGCCAGGCCCATCCTGGGCCCAAGAGCTGTGTTTTTACGCCCTCCTGGCTGGGCCAGGGAGGCATATGCACCGCTCCTGGGCCCAGGGTGGGCCTGGCCAGGAGCAGTGGATGTGCATAGATCTCGTCGCCCTCTGCTCGGCGGAGGGAGGGGCGGGGACGGGGGAGGAGGCGCTCCGTCCGGGGCCACGAAGCGCTGTACTGGGCGGGGGCACCGCCTGCGGCCCGCGCCGCTGGGACCTTCGGTGGAGCTCCCCCCCGGGGCCACGAAGCGCTGTTCTGGCTGGGGGGGGGGACGCATGCGGACTACGCCGCTGGGACCTTCGGTGGAGCTCTCTAGGAGGCGGACGGGGGGGGAGCTGCCCGAGGTCCAGG